AGATCTTAACAAATGCATAAACATGGTATTTATGTATAATAATACATAATAAAAATATATACCACCATCACCCACCACTGCAAACAAGAAAAAAGTTTTAAATTCGAACCCCCTAATATACCAACCACTTATCTTATTTTTTTTTTTTTTTAAACTCGTATATGTATAATAAACGATTTTTCTTTTATCGAGAATAGCCTAACGCTTGACATTTTCGTTTCCACACTCAACAGATCACTTTACACGTCAGTTAAACGATTGCCATCCCTCGAACAAATCCTCGCGACGAAATAAACGATGAAGGAAGAGGAAAACGAGAAGAAGGAAGAGTAGAAATAGGAGGGTGGTGGGTGGGTGGGTGGTTGGATAGGGTAGGAAGGGAAAGGGAGGAGAGAGTGATAATGGGCTCTTTGACCGGAAAGGAAGATCGAACTAAAGCAACGCAGCAGACAATGGAAACGGAAAAGAACGTTTATCGGAAACCGTGAAATGAAAAAGAAAAAGAAAAAGAAGAAGTAGAAGGAAAAACGAAGAAGATGAAAAGCTGATAGAGGGACATATCGAATTCCCCATTCGTTCGATTTTCCCCCTTTTTCTATCTCTTTTTCTTTCTTTTTTTTTGGGATGTCTTAATTTCGTTTCTTTTCTTTTTCTTTTTCTTTTTGTCTTCTTTTACCCTCCTTTGTGATAAACACACTACAATAATGGTACAATACCTAGTTAACTAACTTTCTTGAATATTTCAATATCAAGGTCTTATCTTAGGTTTAATCAAAATATATGCAAGTTTAATTTTTGTATTACTTTTCTTTTTTTTTATTTATATATATTCGAATAGATATTTTGTTTTTTCTTGTGAAGATATTAATGTGTTATTGATGATATTAATTAATCGATTAGAATAAATTACGATAAATATATTTTTTGTATTTCATATATCACATTAAAGTATCTGTTGATTGGTTAATTAGATAAATTATATTTACGACAAATTGAATTTATGTTTGTCTTTAAAAAAGATTGTAAATCGATGACAGAAAGATATGTTTAATAATTAATAAAAACAAATAATTCTTTCGAGACTTATATAAATTCATGCAAAGGTTCCATATGAGCGAACCATATTAGGGTCATATGAACGAATTTATATTCACGCCAAAAACATGTCGCAACGGAAGAATTGTTTTAATTGTTTTTTCAATAAAAAATCAACAAATTGCCATATTTTTCCAAATAAAATATATATATATATATCTGCGCGAGATAAATTATAAAAAATTGTTTAATTAAAAAAGTCACGTTACAAAATTGAAACGTAAAATTATTCTCGAAATTTTAACGATGCGTATGGCGTAATTAAAACAAATTACCAAAAATATTTTGCGAAATGGATATATATTAATGTATTATAAAAAAAAAAAAAAAGATAAAAAAATAATACGAAAAAGAGAAAAACAAAACAAAAACAAAAGTATTACGAAAGAAAAATTAGAACATAGAACATATCTATCTATTAACTCGTGATATTTCGTGAGAGTTTCTAATTTAACGTCATCGAAAAAATAAAACAAGTGGATTAGGTGGGCTTGCACTCCGGACGAAACTTTTCATCGCTTTTTACTCTTCCTCTCTCTTAAAAACTCTTAAATAGAAAATTCTTACGAAAGGGATTGTGACATAGTCGAGTGACACGAATTTAGAAAAAACAAAAAAAAAAAAAGAAAGGCCGATGGGGTAAATAAATTTGCCCGAAAAAAATACGTAATTAAATTTTTCTTCTTTCCTTTTTATTTTCTTTTTATTTTCTTTTCGATCATCTTTTAACAAATTACTTCATGAAATTCAAGACCTATCATACCATACCATACCATGCATTATCAAGGAATCATCATATATATTCGTACGGTTTAACACATTCATTGCCAACCACGTAATTTTACTTTACAACTTTTGATTGATTGCAATTGGTCACGAAATAAGTTTATAACCGTTTTAGTTAGAAATTATTAGAAAGGATATATGAATGAAAATTTGATATATAACATTTGATAAGAAAATAAATTACATACTATATACACGTACTAAATATATATTTGTGTAATTTAAATATTGATTAAATTTTTATAAATTTCTCATGTGTTTTATTTATAAAAGAAAATCTTGACACCCGAGGACAAAACGTTTTCAATTTGCCTCATAGTGAATGCGTTGAAAAACAACACGCGTTTCATATTTTTTCTTAACTTTTCTACGATCGATATCGCGAAAAACTTACGTCCTTCTAACGAACGAATAACCTCCTACCATTTCATTTATATACGTAATCAAACAATTCAATATTAAACGCGTGTAATGTAGATATATATTCTACATTCTTATTTGAGATTGATTAAAAAAAAAAAAGAACAAAAATCTAAAACATCGTTTATTATTCGTTTAAAACTATCGATAGTTTTATTCATTTTTCATCGATATATCTTAAAAGTACGAGTTTTTGAAAAATAAAATTTGCTTATTATTTATTAAAAGTTTTCAAAGACAAAGTAGGACAAATAAAAAGTTAACTTGATCGAAAATAATTGTTACTCTTTCTTAGAATAAAATCTTTTTAACCCTCTCATATATATAAGCATAAAACATTTTGTTGATAAAATCAATAATTGATTAAATTAATAATTAAAATGTATATAAAACCAAACTAAAAATGTTTTTATACTTTTCTCGTTAGAACGATCGATAGAACTTAACGATAATCATAATATTTTATCACTTATTCTCGTAATAATAATTCATAATTATCTTTGCTAAATTACTACTTCTTTCTATTTAATCTCTAGATTATTTTTTCTTCCGAATAATATCAATATTTTTTCTAAACACAAAACATATAATTAAACACAAAACATATAACGACGGTAAAAACAAAAATTACACACTATCTAAACGTTCATTTAAAAAAAAAAAAAAATTGTTTTCATCATTTATTCATTAAAAAATGATAAGTATTCCTAATCAATTATCATTTTTCGATTTTTATTTTAACAATTTTAATATATATTTCTCTCTCTCTCTCTTTTCTAGCCTAATCTTATTTAATTTTTACATTTTTAAATAATATCGATAAATTATTCAACCCAAAAGTAATTCCAAATCAAGAATACAATTTTTCTCCCTTTACATTAAATTCCCATGCTAATTTAAACGATTTATTTTCATCATTATCACGCGAAACACGAAAGGATATAATAGATATGATTATATTTTTTTTTTTTTCGCGTTCACTTAGAACATTTTCATAACGATCAACCAACCAACCCCGCGCAATTGTACGAGAGTAAAAGAAGTGTTCTATGAAAAAGAAACCGGGACACGGTTTGAAAAAAGAAAAGGGGGAGGGGACGGGTGGGAGATGGGTGAAAACAAGGAGAAAACGAAGAAGAAGAAGAAGAGAAGATAAAAAGATAGAAAGCTCGTTTCACGGAAATCTTCGCTTTTCTATCCTCCCTTTTTTTTTCTTTTATTTTTTATCTTCTCGATACTAGCACGATAATGAAGTAAATATCCACCGATAACAATTTCGAATAATTAGAAGAAGAAAAAAAAAAAGACAAACAAAAGGGAAGGAAGAAAGGAATGGAAAATAAAATTACGGGGAGGAATGCAAACATAATTTGAAATTTTTCTCGAGAAAAATTCATGGGGGAAGAAAAAAAAGGTTAAACAAAAAGTTGTGATTAACCAATAATAATTTTGAAATAATTAACGAATGATGAAAGATCTCTATTTTGCTTCAATAGTTTCTTCCCCCCACCCTTTTTGTTTTTTATTTTTTTATTTCTTTTTTCTCTCTCTCTCTCTTACTCTCTTTTTTTGTACCTTCGTTACATTTTCTAAATTCTCGAGAGTATAATTGTTCCTCGAGAGAAACGAATTGTTTCTTTCATATATACCGTGTTTCGCTATACTAAAGTTACTTTTAACATTCTTATTCTACCAAGGATTATGCGTTTGACGATGCAACGCGAAAAAAGAAAAAAGAAAATGCGTAGGTGGAAGAAGAACAAAAGAAAAGAGAAAGAAAATTATTACTATATTACCTCGTGAAAAAAAAAAAAATAAAAAAACAACAACAACATTAAATAACGGCAACACATTTATGAAACAAATGTTATACAAGATGATTTTAATTTTGATAAAATAAGAAAATACGTATATGTGTAATAATATTTCGCGTATATAATTTCGTTATTTAGATTATTTTATTTTCTTCTTTCAAGAAGAAAATGTGATAAAAAAAAAAGAGGCAAGAATTCTTTTTGCTATCTCGAAGTATTTAAAAAAATATAAACAAAATAAAACAATAATTCGATGAAACTTTATAATATACGATATTTTCACTTTGATAATAACAAAATATAATAATAATAATATCGTGTGAATAATTTCAATTAATCTCCTATATATTAATTATTTGATACAACGCATACAAAACAAAAGAACAATTGTTAACATTTCTTGTTCCTTTTTGATACTTCAAAGTACCTAAAAATCAATAGAAAGGTAATCCAACGATATTAAACGTTAATACGATATTCACTTTGATAAATATCAAAAATAATAATAATAATACCTGTTAAAAACTTAAATTCTTTCACGTATCTTGTTCCACATCTTACAAATAAGATAAACGTGAAACCGATCGAGCGATAAAGATCTTATCTTTTTAATTTTTCTTTTTAACCAATAAAGAAAGAAAGAAAGAAAAATCACGTATAAGAATATTACTGAAAATGGAAAGATAAATTTAAATAAAATCTTGAAAAATCTCTTTTTTCTTCTCTTTTTCTATTTTTTTTTTCAAGAATTCAAGGAAGAACGCGAATAGAAACTGTTGTCTTGTCACGAGTTATACAAAAATATAATATATATAACACAGTTCACTTAAAAAAAAAAAATCAAATAGAGATAAGAAGTAAAAGGAATACCCCCCACCCACCCACCGACAAAATAACAAAAAAATAAACCGTGTTGGAGTAGTACTCGATCAGTAGAGCCGAACATGAACGAATCGATGATGTTGAATGTGCCAAAGGTGGATAAGATCTGGAAACACTTCCGGGAGTTCACCGACACCAACTAACGCACGTACAAACACACACTACCACCACCACTACCACCACCACTATAATAACACTTCTTTGATAGAAGGTATGACGTGATATCACAAATTCCAATAATCAAAACAAACTAAACAGCGAGACTCGAGGAAGAAAAACTCAACGCATTCACGAACACATATACACATACACACACACCAGGTCACCCCCGGAAATAAACTAATCCTCGTTTTTATCCTCTTCTCTCTCTCTCTCTCTCTTTCTTTCTATATTATCCGAAATTATTTCCAAAGAAAAAAATATCTCGAACAAAGTTTTCCCGACAAGAAAAAAATATCAAAAACTAACTTGATCGAGATGAGGGGCGGGGGGGGGGGAAGAGAAAAAAAATGGATGAAAATAGAACGCGAGAGAGAGAGAAAAAAAAAGAAATATTGTCCACCGTTGGAAATAGAATAAAAATCACCGTATTACGAATATTCTTTTCATTTTATCTTCGACAAATATCAACGAATTAAATCGTCACGAGTGATACAACGAATAAGTTGAAACAATATTATTAACACTACTATTAACAATAATAACAATAATATTAATACCAATCGTTCGATCGGATTTTGTATAATGATTCAAGTTCATATTTCTACGATTTATAATTCGAAAGAGAGAGAGAGAAAAGAAATTAGATGATGGTTGGCGAAGAGAGAGAGAGAACAACCGGCCGGCAGCGTGGCTGCCTTAGTTTGCGAAGGCGCGTGCCATGCCATCCCTTTCGAACCCCGTCGTTCTGTCTCTCCTACAACCCCACCTCGAGCACGGATCATTCTCCCCACCCTACTAACCCTCGTTCCAATCCCCCCTAACCCTCTTCATCCTCACTCTCTTTCTCACTCCTTCTCGTTAGCTTTCTATGCGACACGACTATGACGCGACATCTTTTCACTCACTCACTCACTCAGTCATCCCCTTCCACTACGTCATTCTAACCACCCACCCACCCCCCTACCACCCCCACCCACCTCTTTCCTTCCTTCCTTCCTGCTTTCCTTCCTACGTTTCTCTCTTGCGTACTTACTACCGTTTTTTTTTTTCCAATGCTAGCCATCCCACCCTTTCCTCCCACCATCACCTCTTACCCTCCCCCCTTCCCTGTTCCCGTTTCTTCTTACCGTGTCTCTCACACGACTCAAACCACTCGATATTCTTTACGCGCTCGTGCACAAACCCTCCACAAGGAGTTTAACCGATCGAGCGTACTTACGCTCGGACATGAGATGAAAATGCCGTTGAATTCACCCTATCTCTTACTCTCTCTCTCTCTCTCTCTATCTATCTATCTATCTCTATCTTTTTTTCCTTTTTTTTTCCTCACTCTCTCTTTCTCTCTCTCTTTTAGTGTTCAGGCAAATTTCCAAGCGTTCTTTGTAACCGTGTGTGTGTGTGTGTGTGTATGTAGGTAGGTAGGATATATGTTTTATCGGATGATCGAGCATGATAAAAGTTTAGTCTCGGTTTAAACGTTTTTCTTAATATTTTCTTCTTTTTTTTTTTTCTTTTCATTTCAAAAACGACCAACTTTTGCGTGGTAGAATTTAATAAATCTTTCAAGTTGATTGAAACGATATTGAAAATGTACGGGTGAGGAGGAGGAGGATGAGGAGGAAAAGGAGGAGGGGGAGGGGTAATAGATGAAATTGATTATATAAATAGACACTTTTGTCAAAGAGATTCCTTTTTTTTTTTTTTTTTTTTCATGAAATACTCTACCGATATTTTAATGTCATGGCGAAAAGAAACGAAAAGAAAAGTGAATAAAAAAAAAAAAGTAAAATTTCGTTGAATGTTATTATGACAGGATCGCAATAAAATGTCTTTCTCGCGACATTTTTTTAAGATATACCCGATGAAAGAAAATAAGAAAAGAACAAAGGAGAAACGAATTAAAAACAACAACAACAACAAAATGTGTGACAAAAAAAAAAACGAAACAGAAAAGGATATTTATTCGCATAATATATCACGCGAAATGTCCTTCGAATATGTTACGAACGGATATAAATCTTATGAAACGTTGCATTGACATAGGAAAATAAATTCGACAGGTAAAACAAAAAAATAGCGAGAGAGAGAGAGAGAGAGAGAGAGAAAAAAAACAAAAAGAGTCACAACGTTGGTGGAAAGCAATCGTTGTTACGCACGATCGACGTGCAACAAAATCGTACCAATACAAAATGTCGAGTCAAAAAATATATACAACGCGAGAAGAAATTGCATGAATGCATTTATGTGTATTCGCATATACACGTTGTACTCTGTGCACAACACAAATTGTTCTCTCTTTTGCTGCTGCTGTTGTTGTTGCACAGCAGAACGAAAAAGAAGAAGAAGAACGTGTAACACGCATATATATATATATATATATAGATGGAAAAGCACGAATTTTCTTCTTTGAAAATGAAAAATAAACGCTTCTTGTTCTCTTCGATCATAATTCTCATATTCACGATTCCCCGATCTTCTTCTCTAGTGCTTGTTGAGAAGATGATCGCATTCCTGAACTATTCGTGCAGAAATATTTGAAATTTTTCCAATATGAAAAAGGATGTCCCTGAACAACCTGGCCCCTCCCCCTCCCTTACACTCCTTTCTCCTTTTCTCACACACCGCTACCGTCTTTCTTATAATTCATATTTCTCACATATGAAATATGACTTTTCATTTCTCATTTCTTTTCTTTTCTTTTCTTTTCTTTCCTTTTCGTTTCATTTATACGCGATTTTTTAGAAATCTCGTAGTTTATATTTTATAACAAAAAAAACGTTGAGATTATAAGGATTTAATTAGCTATTACAATGTAACGATGTTTTCCTATTGGGGTTTTTTTTTTGTTTTTTTATTATTAGGTATTATCATTTCGTATTTAATCCATGAAGAAAAGTTTCGCGTGTATATTATGAAATATGTTAATTTAATATTAACGTTTGTTGAATAAAAATTCGTATGATATTCGTTGATTTAAATTTGTTATACACAATAGAGATAAATTTAACGTTGATAATAATAATAATAATAATAATAATAATAAAAAGAAAAAAATAACCTATTTAAATAATACGAAAGAAAATGTAACGAGAAAATTTTCATGAAACCGCATTTATAAATCACACGCCTTTTTAGTAATATAAACTTGCTAGATCAATTATTATTTGATTACGTGATAAAATTTACATTTTATTCATATATCTCTCTGTGTTCACACACACACACACACACACACACAGATACAATTTATTATTTATTTATTTATTTATTTATTTATTCGACCGATGAGAACATTTTCCCCCTTTTTTATCTCGTCGAAGTATAAAATATGCAACAAATCAAAAAGAAAAAGAAAGTACGAATTTCGGTAGTCGAGGTAGGGGAAAAAAAAAAAGAAAGAAAAAATCATTAAAAAATGAGGGACCATTGCCAAAATCGTTTAATAAATTTCATTCGAATCGTTAGCGGTTATTCGTGATCTTGGCAAAGATTCTGTCATACATTTTCTCTCTCTCTCTCTCTCTCTCTCTCCCTCTCTTTTATTTCTTTTTTTTATTTACTTTATCGCAGTTCACGTTTTTTCTCTTATCGTAATATAATAAAAAAAATGAGAAAGAAAGAAAGAGAGAGAGAGAGAGAGAGTGAGAGAGAGAGATAAATCCACAATTACGGACATAGATTAATCGACGAATGATTGACATGCAGTATGCGAGTACCAAGACGATTAGTAAACTCCGTTCATTAATTTTCATGCCAAGCCTGAAACTCTCTCTCTCTCATTCTCTCTCTCTCTCTCTCCTTTGTTTTTCCTCTCTTTCGTTATTACAAGAGAGCTTCGTTCTCTTCTCTTTGCTTATATCACCGTATATACCTACTGGAATTACCGTAAAGAACGTACTTACGTATTTCGAGAAGCTTCATTATTCCACTTAATTAAGTCCCCATAAAACTGGCCGTGAATTATAATTAGCTTGTTTATATGGGGGGAAAAAAAAAAAAAAATATATATATATATATATATATATATATAGATATATCAAACAAATTTTGTTATTTAACAAAACAAATATAATCGCATTAATAATCAATCGCACACACATATACACACACACAAAAATAAATACAATCGTACTGAAAAATCATTCGCGTAATAATAATTAAATTACGTTAAAATGTTGCAAAAGGAATGACAATAAAAAGTTTTCGATTAATGTTAGATTTAAATCAAACGAACCACAAAAGTACGGACCTCTCTTTCTCTCTTTCTCTCTCTCTTTCGTTGTCGTTTAATTATTACTCTTTGCGTATCGTAAAAAATTTGGGGAGGGGGGGGGGGGGAGGAGGGAAAAGAAAAACAAGAATAAAGAAGAAAAGAAGAAGAAAAAAAAATTAAAAAGACTTTAATAAAACGCGCGTATGAATTTTCGCATTGGCCCAAAACCAATCATAGGGATATTCGCAAGGATACAATCTGCATTAAATTTTTCCCCGGGGACGATTTAATCCGTTCGAATGAGGTATAAAAAGAAAAAAGAAAAACAAAAAAACAAAAAAAAAGAGAGAGAGAGAAAAAAAAGAGAAAAAAAAAGAAAAAGTAACTAAGAGAAGAGAATAGGGATGAGCCACGGGCGGCTAGTAACTAGGGAATAATGTCGTAATCGAGGTTTACGGCAAACGAAAGGGACGACGTGCTTCATTTAGCGTCTTAAATAACGTGGAAGAGAAAAATACTGTCTCCTCTTTTTTCTTTTTTCTTTTCTTTATTTATTTTTCTTTTTTTTTTTTCTGTTCACGGGAATAAACGCGCCTAATCGCACGGGGATAAAAAAAAAAAACGTTTTCTTTCGCGTTTGTTGTACCTTTCCTCGTCGTTGTACGCCCTTTACTTTCCTCCCCCTCAGCTTGTCCGTCCGTCCGTACGTCCGTCCGTTCTTTCATTATCCATAAATTTAACGTTCTGACTAATTTCTTTTTTTTTTTTCTTTTTTCTTTCTAGTTGAAATCATCCTTCTTCATTCCCCAATGGCCAAAAAAAAAAATAATACGCGGCATTTCGTCTGAAATATTTCCCTCTCTCGTATATTTATTTTCTTTGCGTGTGTGTGCGCGCGCGCGCGCGTCGATGTGTAAAACGTTTACGCGTGTAAAATTACGTAGTTTTTTGTTGTTGCGCGTTTAAATGTCGCATAAAATCGCGCGTATTAAAAAGAGAAA